ATTTCCTTGAGAGGATACTTGATATCTTAAGGGATTGTTGAAAGCTGTAATGTAAGTCCTACCAAATCAAATTTAGTATCATACACAGTGCTCAAACCTCTAGTCTTTCACAGCACATAACACAATTATTAGGAAAACTGGACTACCACAACCAAAGATAGAGGGCACACAGTTCTGACGGGGAGAGCAACAATGAAGGAGTGATTTTGTTTAGGAAACTAGTACTGAAAAACGAAATAGAAGTAACTTAAAATACTCAAGACATTAAATGCATGACTGCGACTCCAAACTGCCATTTAGTATCCTTTATATTTAGGATATAAAAACTACACCCCACCTATGGCACGTTAAACTGACAAGACAGTCAAAGCCTCCTATAAGTCAATCTCCCACTATTTTCTGATTGTTCCGAAAAATAACCGTTTTAAGAGGTAAATTATTTTATCTCTTAAAAAAAAAAAAGCATTTATGCTTAAAAAATGGGATGAGGTGGGATTCCCTCTTTAAAAATTTTTCTAGAGCTACTAAAAAACTTGTATTTATAAGATAGTTGATAAAAATAGCCTGGCTTGTTCAAGAAGGGGGACAGAGACCCCTGGTGAGACATGGTATATGACATTACTCAGACTTCTTTCTTGCCTGCTTCATCAGAGGGTGGACTCTTCCCCATTTTTAGTTTCTCCTTTATCTGCAGGTAAATCTTCACTGTCTCAGTTGCCCACTTCAGCCTGTTTTCTTTGCTCCCCTTTTTCCCTTTGGTTTGCACCCTTTGTCTGAAGATGTCTCCTTCCCTCCTGCCTTTTTGGCTTCCCTTTTGCTTCTGCAAGAGCAGGCTTAGCCGACAACCTGGTTGATCTCTTGGACTCTTGGCTGCCCCCTCAGCTGAGCTGACCTTTCTCTTGGGCATCTTGGCTGCGGACAGGGTATGTACTGGGTGCCTGGGTGACCATGGGATGCTTAGATCCTTAGTGCAGCTGAGCAGGTAGACCCTGTCACTCCTCCCTCGCACTCTGACAATTTTTAAAAAGAGAGATCTAGGAAATAATGGAAGGAGGTAAAGAAAGAAGGAAAAAGAAGGAAGGACCCCTAAATGTATGTTAAAGCCCGTAGCAGTGTATCCATGGACCATAAAGGGAGATAAGCCGAACTGTAGGCAGTTGGAGCATCAAAATAATGATGGTGTTAGAGCTGAATTGTATCTCCTCCAATATGACTGTACTTGAGAATACAGTCTTTAAAGGAGTTATGTGGGTGGGCCCTGATCCAACACAATTTGTATCCTTATAGGAAGAGATTAGGGGCCAGCAGGTAGCATAGTTAAGGCACTGGATTCCTACATGTCTGACTACAATTTGAGTCCCAGATCTGTTGGCTGACTTTCTCACTTTTTCCCCTTCTCTCTGTCTCTCTGGTAAGTGCATATGCCCTATAGCAAATTTAAAAATAATAATAAAGTTGAGGCCAGCAGGTGGCATGGTTGTTATGGGCGCCAGACTCTCACATAGCTATCTGCAATTTGAGTCCTCGACCTGGCAGCTTGCTTTCTCACTTTCCCTCTCTCTCTCCCTCTCTTTTGCTCTCTCCCACTCTGTCTGGTCAAATTATAGTAAATAAATAAATAAATAAAGAGAAGTAAAGTAATTCTTTTAAGAAATAATAAAGGTAATTCTTTCAAAGATTAGGACACAGGTGTGCAAAGTGAAGACCAAGGGAAGTCACATGAAGAAGATGGCCATCGATACCGGCTAAGGACATGTGCCCTCAAAAGAAACCAACTTCATTCCAGACACCTTGATTCTGAACTTTTTTTTTTTTTTTTTTTCGAGAGAGATTTTTGCTATAGGGCACATATGCTCACCAGAGAGACAACGAGATTATATCATTGTGGATAAAGGGCATTATACATTAGAAGAATATGTCTTTCTCCCCCCGGGGGGAGGAGGCAAAGCCTCCTATAAGTCAATCTCCCACTATTTTCTGATTGTTCCGAAAAATAACCGTTTTAAGAGGTAAATTATTTTATCTCTTAAAAAAAAAAAAGCATTTATGCTTAAAAAATGGGATGAGGTGGGATTCCCTCTTTAAAAATTTTTCTAGAGCTACTAAAAAACTTGTATTTATAAGATAGTTGATAAAAATAGCCTGGCTTGTTCAAGAAGGGGGACAGAGACCCCTGGTGAGACATGGTATATGACATTACTCAGACTTCTTTCTTGCCTGCTTCATCAGAGGGTGGACTCTTCCCCATTTTTAGTTTCTCCTTTATCTGCAGGTAAATCTTCACTGTCTCAGTTGCCCACTTCAGCCTGTTTTCTTTGCTCCCCTTTTTCCCTTTGGTTTGCACCCTTTGTCTGAAGATGTCTCCTTCCCTCCTGCCTTTTTGGCTTCCCTTTTGCTTCTGCAAGAGCAGGCTTAGCCGACAACCTGGTTGATCTCTTGGACTCTTGGCTGCCCCCTCAGCTGAGCTGACCTTTCTCTTGGGCATCTTGGCTGCGGACAGGGTATGTACTGGGTGCCTGGGTGACCATGGGATGCTTAGATCCTTAGTGCAGCTGAGCAGGTAGACCCTGTCACTCCTCCCTCGCACTCTGACAATTTTTAAAAAGAGAGATCTAGGAAATAATGGAAGGAGGTAAAGAAAGAAGGAAAAAGAAGGAAGGACCCCTAAATGTATGTTAAAGCCCGTAGCAGTGTATCCATGGACCATAAAGGGAGATAAGCCGAACTGTAGGCAGTTGGAGCATCAAAATAATGATGGTGTTAGAGCTGAATTGTATCTCCTCCAATATGACTGTACTTGAGAATACAGTCTTTAAAGGAGTTATGTGGGTGGGCCCTGATCCAACACAATTTGTATCCTTATAGGAAGAGATTAGGGGCCAGCAGGTAGCATAGTTAAGGCACTGGATTCCTACATGTCTGACTACAATTTGAGTCCCAGATCTGTTGGCTGACTTTCTCACTTTTTCCCCTTCTCTCTGTCTCTCTGGTAAGTGCATATGCCCTATAGCAAATTTAAAAATAATAATAAAGTTGAGGCCAGCAGGTGGCATGGTTGTTATGGGCGCCAGACTCTCACATAGCTATCTGCAATTTGAGTCCTCGACCTGGCAGCTTGCTTTCTCACTTTCCCTCTCTCTCTCCCTCTCTTTTGCTCTCTCCCACTCTGTCTGGTCAAATTATAGTAAATAAATAAATAAATAAAGAGAAGTAAAGTAATTCTTTTAAGAAATAATAAAGGTAATTCTTTCAAAGATTAGGACACAGGTGTGCAAAGTGAAGACCAAGGGAAGTCACATGAAGAAGATGGCCATCGATACCGGCTAAGGACATGTGCCCTCAAAAGAAACCAACTTCATTCCAGACACCTTGATTCTGAACTTTTTTTTTTTTTTTTTTTTCGAGAGAGATTTTTGCTCTAGGGTGCATGCACTTGCAGGAGAGACAGAGAGACAGAAAGCAGGAAATCACTCCCAAGGGGAGATGGCCACACCACAATCCCTTCTCCATTCTCCTCTGGGGATCTTGGGCACACACGCACACATGTCCAGGGTGAGTTTCAAGTCGCTGGGTCTGGGACTCGAACCAAGGTTGACTGCATGGGAGTTCACCAACATAGCCATTACTTTAACTGCTGGTCCCGATAAATTGCTGCTGTTTAAGTCGCACTGTCAGTGTTATGGTGTTATAGAAGCCCTTGCAAACATACACAGATGGTAACATAGCCTATTCAATAATGTAAGTTCCTGAATGTGTACTGATACACGAAAATGAATTTTTTAAATGGAGGGAGAGGGAACGTGCTTCCTTAGAGTAGAATGCCAGCTAATACATGTAGAAGGAATAACGTAATTAGGAAAATCACTGATAACCTTAGTAATATGTTCAAGCAAGAATATCAAAGTATGCCCAAAGTAGCTGATGAAAGTTTGTTGAGAAACAAGGTATTTAGTTAACCGAATAGTCTCACCTCTAAGTTACAGAATAACGGGCACATTATGGTGGAGAAAGCTGGCAGCACTACCTTAACTGATCACAGTTAACGGCACAAATAATAGGGTAAACTGATGTGTGCCTCTCGTATAAGAATATGCAACATAATGCCTCTGTATTTGGCCTCCAACTGCATCACCTACAGAGAGTTATTCGAGGAAACATCAGACAGATCAAAATCAAGGAAATAAAATGACCTGTAGTCTTTTATTATTTATTTTCTATAGGGCATGTGCATGAAAGGGGGGGAGTGAGAAATCACCCCCCAAGGGGGCTGGCCATTACAGCAATCCCTTCTCCTCCAGCCTCCTATTGGGATTTGGGGCATGCATACACATGCACCTGGCTTGTTTTCAAGCTGCTGGGTCCAGGACTCAAACCACACAGCTGGTTAAGTGGGATCCAGCATCTTAACCTCTGTACCACCTGCTGCTAAAATAAACATTCTTATTTTAAAGTGTTTTTAAATTTTTTTTTTTGCTAGCCATTCTCATGACTAGTTTTTTTAATCTTTTTATTATTTTTTTAAATTAATTAATTTACATTTATTCACTGAACATTGGGCCAGCTGGTGGCATGATGGATATGTGCTGGATCTCACCTGGCGGGCTGAGCAGTTGGGAGTCCGGACCTGGCGGTGGCTTGAACACTCTAGGCCTGAGTGTAGTGCCCAGAATCCCAAGGAGGGAATGGTAGAGAAGGGATTATGTGGCCATCTCCCCAGGGGAGGTGGGGGTTGATTTATCAATTTTCCTCTGTGCTGAGCACCTTAGAGACAAATTGAAAAAGTCAAGGTCCTGAAAGACAAAGACTAGGGAAACTCCTTCAGGGTAAAGCAAACTAAAGAGACAGGGCAACTAGCTAGTCTTGGATTGGACAATGGGTAAAAGTTGAATACGGAGGGTGAATTAGGTACTGTGTATCCGTGTCAGACTTCCTTGTAACTGTAGTTATGTAAGTGTAAGACTCGTCGCACATGTAGTCTACCAATCAATAGCCACTCGCCAGGCCCACCTCCTCCCTCCCAGGCTATTTAGTGATGATTCAGATCATACCACTCAGTGCTTGGCCTTGGCCCACGACATCAGCCCTATCCCTGCTGCAGGGCCTTCGTCCACCTTCTCCCCACCTGGCTCCTCCGACCTTCTAGACCCTGGTCTCTTCTGCTGCCTTGCCCGCCAGCTCTCTGCTACTCTGCTTTCCCTGGCTCCTTCTACCCACACCAGCTCCCTGCTCCCCCAGGAGTGCACCCGTCTACCCCTTGCTCCGCTGTACGCTTGCGCTCTGTGTCCGCCGGGAGTTGGGCTGCGGGGTTGGAGGCTCCAGCGATCCGGATCCCGGCTTCTGAGCCGACGCCGGTGAGGGGCTGCGACAGGTGGCTGCGCTCCCCGCGATGGGCTGTTCTAGCAGCGCCCTCAACAAGGCCGGCGACAGCAGCAGGTTCCGCACAGGTGAGCAAGGATTCTGGCCTCATCGCCCCCGAGCCCGGACTGGGGGCTCACTCCCCTGGAGGTCCAAAACTGCCCCCAGTGTCCACCTGACCCTGCAGGGGTAGTCGGGGAAGGGTGGGGTGGACCTCAGAGCAAACCCAGCTCTCTCCCCAAATCTGTAGGGCGCTGCTGTGACCGCGGGTGCTGTGGTCTCCGCGCTCCGCTGCGCTCCCGGCTCACTGCTCACCTCTCACCGCGGGACCGGACCCGGAACCAGGCGCTCGCTTACCGGGTAGCTGATGTGATCGCGGGGGCTGGCGGCAAGTCCCTAATGTCGATAGCCGGGATATTCCCCTAAATAGATGAGCAAAGGCTGATGGAGACCTTCTCCCCTTTACCCGGCATCAGCGATGGCAAAGGATGCGGAGAATTCACGGGCATTCGCTCTGATAGGTGCCTGCACTTTTGAAGAGGTCAAATCCACTTTCCCCTTTCTGTGGCTTCAGTATTTCTTGAGAAATAATGTATGTGAGGGGGGAAAGTGTTATCACTGAACATTAAAAATGAATTCAAAGATATTTTGAGCATCTACTCAAATAGCCCAGTGCTCGACGAGGTTCTAGAGATACAAGTGACCCTACTTTGGGAGGTGAGGGTGGAAGAAGCAAACAATAAACATGGGGGAAATTGTTAAGATGGTTTCCGAGGGGCAGCAGGTGGTGTGATGATTACGGTGCTGGATTCCCCATGGCCAGCTCCAGGAGCTTGGTCCCATACCTGGTGGACTGAAAGACATGCCAGGCACATGTGTGTGCGCCCAGGATCCTGAGAGGAGAACGGAGGAGAAGGGATTGGTACATGGCCATCCCCCACGGCGGGGGGTGGGGGTGGGGTGTGTGTGTCTCACTTTCCCTGTCTCTCTCTCTGTCAAGCATACATGCCCTGTCGCAATAATAATAATAATAATAATAATAATAATGATTTCTGACAGTGATACAAACTGTGAAGTGAATAAAAGAAGACTAATAAGCTAGAGAATGACTGCGTTGTGCAGACAACTCACTTCTTAGATTTTCAATGGCTAACATTTTGGACAAAACTCTGAAGGTCAGGCAGATTTCTTTCAAGTTAGTTTACAGTCTTTAAGACTAACTTCAGGGGGTTATTATAGTCCAGTTCATTCTCTTTCACAAGCCTTCTGTTAGCAGCTTGGGTGATGGCAGCAACAGACATGTCTTCCTCTCTGATTGTGTGATACAGAGCACACGATTGTCCTGAATGCTGTTTCAAAGTTCAGCTCTGTGTCTTAGTCAGAAATAGGGTGTGTTGTCATTATTTTGGTCATTTTGATCATCTATTTCTAGCTCCAGTAAATAACAGAAAGAATAAAAAGTTGGGAAGTAGGCAAAACACTAAAACCATATAGAAGAGCGATTCCCTCTGTGTCACTGACAATGTGGAGGGACAGGAAAATCCATTTCTAATGCACAGTGCTTGGTAACCTTTCTCCTAAGGAGGTGAGAGCCTCCATACCCCCAATGTGCTCTGAAGAGACCAGGAACAAGGAGCAATTTATTTGCCATTGCATGTTTCAGTTTATGAAGTCGGGTGGATTTTTACACTCTGCTCCATGATAAATTCCTGTTGGTTTTAATATGAAAAACAGAAAGAAAAAAAAAAAAACCGTGATGCTTCAGAAAGATGTATTATTCTGTCTTCTCTTACCTTAGATATCCTAGGAGTAGCCTCCTGGTTTAAAAAGCAGAGCTGCATGTGTGTATGTGTGAGTAGTATCTATTTTTAAAGTTAATTTATTACTTTTTCCTAAAAGCCAGAGAGAGAGGAACCCGCAATAGTGCCTTCACACTGCGATCCACTCCTCAGCTGGCCCAGATCGTGGATATGGCCTGCCCAGCGTGCTTGGGGATATTCTAGGACACAAAACCAGAACCTTTCTCATTTGAGCCGGCGGTGTCACCATCACCTTGCCCTATTATGTAATTTAAGACTGACAAAAACATGCATTTCAGAGAATGTAACCTTTGGGAAGAGACAAAAGTGTAATAGGGTTTTTATTCTTCTTAGAAAATAATGAGTGGGACTAGCAGTTAGCATAATGGCTATGTCGCTGGACTCCCATGTAGACGACCGTGGTTCAAGTCATGGACCCTGTGGCTTAAACTCACGCCGGGCGTGTGTGCGTGCACGCCCAAGATCCCGAGAGGAGAATGGAGGAGAAGGGATTGTGGTGTGGCCATCCCCCCTGGGGGGTGATTTCTCGCTTTCTGTCTCTCTGTCTCTCTCTGTCTGTCTGGCAAGTATATGCACCCTATTGCTAGAACCTCTCCAAAAAAAGAAAAAGGAAAGAAAATAATGAGTAATCGTTTTATCACTAATACTAATAACCATCCGTGCAAGTTTCACTCTTCATTTTTTATTCTTGTTCTCATTGTTCTAAGTTTTCATGGATGTCTTTCTGGACGAAATGTTAAAACTCCTGACTATAAGTTTCAGCATATAGAAAATTAATTAATTCATAGTATAGATTGCCTGACATATTGAATCAATCAACAGGTGTATTTTACTTTCAGTCCTCCCTTGTAATAAGATACTATTGTGTGTTCATCATCAGTTCAACTCCATGATCTTGGAGGCCCAATAAATAATTCATTCCTGTTTCTGCTTAAAACTTCTTTGAATCCAACGTACAGCCCCAAGCCTGTGTGTGTGTGCTTTTAGATAAACAGTCCAAATTTAGCTGTCCTGTACATGCATTTATTCACTGTGCCCCGTGACTAATGCCTGGCACATAATGGGTCCTTGGGAACTGTTTGTTGAAAGAATTACTTCATTTAATCATTGTAAAATGCTATGACTAAGTATTATGATTATACTGACTTTACAGATAAGGAAAATAATTTGCCCAAAGACTCAGGGCTCCTAAGAGTCAGAGCTGGGCTTTTAACCCAGATACTTAAACCAGCTTGTGCTAGTAGATTTAAATGCTTTGTTTCAAATCACTCTGGGTGCCCATTAGGTGTGTGGTCACCCACTATGCAAAAAAATACAATAAGTGTGATATATTGTAAAAATATATTAATACATAAGAGCATTATAATTTATAATATAAATTAGAATATATAACATGGTATATAAATATGTTAATATATAATAATACTATATTAACTTATAATATAAAAAACAGTATAGCATACATATATCTTATAATATAACATAATATCTGTATCACATTTATTTTTTAATTTTTTTTGTGGGGGAGAGGTTTTTGCTATAGGGCACGTGCGCTCACTAGACAGACAGAGATAGAGAGACAAAGCGAGAAATCACCCCCCAGGGGGGATGGCCACGCTGTAATCCCTTCTCCTCTATCATATATTCAGTAAAATATGTTTATATTTATCTCAAAAAAACCTTTTTTTTAGAGAATTCTTTACTTAATTTTATTTGTTATTATAATTTTTTAAATTTGACCAGAGAGAGATAGGGAAAGTGAGAAAGCAAACAGCCATAACCAGGACTTGAACCACGGTCAACCATGTAGGAATTCAGTACTTTAACCACCACTCAGACTGGCTTCTCCCCTCAAGCTTTTATACATGATGCATTATTAGCTTATAAGTAAAATAGTTTCTAAAATTGGTTAGATTAAATGATCTCTAAGCTCTCTTATAACTCTAAAATCTTTTTTTCTTATAACTCTAAAATCATTTTTTTTGAGAGATTTTTGCTATAAGATGCATTCACTCAACAGAGAAACAGAGAAAGACATAGCAACAGATACAGAAAGCAAGAACTCACTCCTCAGAAGAAGACCACATCACAATCCCTTCTCCATTCTCCTTTGTGGATTTTGGGCATGCAGGCACACCCCTTGCCACTGGGTCTGGTACTTGAACCATAGTCGACCACTTGGGAATCCAGTACCTTAACCACTATGCCACCTGCTAGTCCCATAGCTCTAAAATCTTGTGATACTAAGATAGGAAGTACTTCTTTTCAGATGGAAGATATTTATTTTCTTTCCTTTTATTTATTTATTTTTTAAATTTTGCCAGAGGGCATATGCACAGGCCACCAAGAGACAGAGAGAAAGGAGAAAGTACCCCCATGGGAAATGATCACATCCCAATCTCATTTTTCCCTCCTTTCTTGGGATTTTGGGCACACATATACATGGACCTGGCATGTTTTTCAAGCTACCAAAGCTAGAACTCAAACTCTGATTGGAGATCTGGGATCCAGGTCCCTTAACCGCCAAGGTCACCTGCTGGCCCTGAAAGTACTTTTTTTTATTTTTGGAGAGATTTTCACTATAGGGCACGTGCGCTTGCCAGACAGACAGACAGAGAGACAGAGAGACAGAAAGCGAGAAATCACCCCCCAGGGGGGATGGCCACACTGCAACCTCTTCTCCTATCATCTGCATGCACGCACACATGCCCGGCGTGAGTTTTAAGCCACTGGGTCCAGGATGCGAACCATGGTCGACTACATGGGAGTACGGTGACATAGCCATTACGCTAACTGCTGGTTCCCTGAAAGTACTTATTTTTTAGGCTCAAGTTTAAATCAGACAGCAGTTACTGGCTGGCAGCCATTAGTTTGCATAAGAATAACTCTTCTACTGATTATTTGGGACATTGGTTTTGACTGGTCAACTGCGCCAAATCCCCTTAGGCCTCTTCCCATCACCACCAAAGACCACTGACCAGGGTGTGTGTCGGGAAGAACAGAGGTGGAGACTGGCCTGAGGTTGTAAATAATTTTCTAGTGCTCCTCAAGTACAGAACAGAGACTGATACAGGGTAGTCACCCATAGGTGAATACCAAGTGCCCTGAAATGTGTGGGATAGAAGCTTTTCTTTCGAAAATGACAAGTAGACATTGTGTTTGGAATTTCTTTGTGGAAGCAAGTTCAAAACTTAGGGGATTTCTGTCTATTCAATGCGTTGAGGGCATAATAGAATCTGAACACAAAGGTGTAGGTGACTTCACAGACT